CGGGGCAGCCTAAAAGCGTTTCCATTGTCTCCGCCCGAGGCGCGCCCCTGGGGCGCAGCCCTGGAGGACGAAGGGGATCCCCGGGGGCTGCCCTCAGGCCTGCCCTGGGAAGCCTGCCAGCTGGGGTGAGCGCGGCCTGACCGCCCGGGAGAAGGCCCTGTGCCCGGGGCTGCGGCTGCCCCTCACCTCCAGGGTTGCCGCGTTCCCAGGGTGTGTGTGCCCCAGGATGCACGGAGCGTCCCCACGCCCTGTCCCTGGCTGCTTGTGTTCATGTAATACTTATTTTATTAATTTATTAATTTGTTGGTACCGGGGATCGAACTCGGGACCTTGCGCTTTCGAGACGGGCGGTGGCACCACTGAGCCAAATCCCAGGCCCACTTATTTTATTTAATGATGGCCCAGAGCAGGACAGCGGCGAGACACAGGAGGTGCCAGGGTTCCACACGTGTGAGGGCAGGGCAGCCCTGGCACCTCGAGGCCACGCTGTGGGGCATGGAGGAGGAAACAGCTGATCCAGGCCTGGCACTGTGTGGTTCGGAGTCCACTGCTCTTTTCCCCAGGATGCCTCCTGCCCATGGATTTCCAGCTTCCTGTGCAAGTGGATGTGCGGTTCCCGAGGGCAGGGCTGGCCACCCTCAGTGTGGCCCCTTGAGAGTCTCCAAACTGATCAGCCACTCCGGCAGGGCCACACCTTGCTTGTGTTGATCTGTTGTCAAGTCCCCTAAGTGAGAGTGAGTGTCTGTCACCCTCTGTTGTCCCCACTCCTCTCTCATGTGCCTCTTCTACGCTGACATGGTCCTCGACAGAAATCCTTTCGGTTCCTCTTTATGCCCTGGGACAATGACAGGCTTAGATGACATCCCCTCCCAATTCATTTCACACAGTTTCCTTTTGGTTTTTGCTTTGTTATGTTGCCCAGGCTGGCCTTGAACTGCTGGGCTCACGGGATCCTCCTGCCTCAGCCTCCTGTTCAATGTCTGCTGTGATCCTATAGGGTGAAAATCATGGAGTGTAGACAGGCAGTTGGCGCTGTGAGCAGTCCTCATCAGGGTGGTCACAGAGTGCCCCCGGGGTAATGTTCGAATTTGGGTCGGAAGGAACCACGGGAAGAAATCTTTATTAAAATAGCAAGGACATGGGGTATTTTGGACTTCAGTAGCTTTTGTTTTGTTTTTAGTTTCTTGAGACAGGTTCTCACTATGTAGTTGAGACTGACCTGGAACTCACTGTGTAGCCCAGGCTGGTCTCGAACTCACAGCGATCCTCCAGCCTCAGCCTTCTGAGTGCTGGGGTTACAGGCGTGCGCCACCATGCCCGGCTTCAGTAGCTTTTTATAGGCGCCCTTTACACTCTTGCAATACAAGGGACACACCCCAAAGTTATGAGCTGGACTCAGGTTCCTGAGCAAAGTGCTCCCTCCCTCCGCAGGCTCCGGCGCATGAAGTGGGGGTGGGGCGGCAAGGAGCCTGGTTTAGGGAATCCCAGGAGGGAAAAACATGTGATGAGCGGAGCAGACTGGAAACGCAGGAGCCAGAGGCTGCCCCTGGGTGATGGTCTCCACCCTCTGTGGGTTAGCTGGGCCCTGCTCCTGTTCTCTATGTCGGGCTGCCTGGCACATGCCGTGTGGGGCGTCTCCTATACAGTCACAAGACCACAGCCCCTCATTGGTCTCAGAGCAAGGGCTGAGGGTAGGTTTGGGCTTCCTGGCTTCCCCGTGTCCTCTGGGAGATGGGAAGGACTGGATAATGAGGCTGAATCATTGAGAGCGGCAGAACCTGCAGGCCTGTTGCCCTAGCAACCTGCCCTTGGGCTCCCGGGCAGGTGCTGCTCCAGGCCCTGGCTTTGGGCGCCAGAGCTCTGCTCCTTTGCCCACCAGGGATGGTGGGGAGAGGGCGCTCACTTCCTGCTTTGTTAGAAAGTCCAGGAAGCGGGTGCCCGGAGCTTGGAAGGCGGGAGAGGAGGGGTGGCCTGCGGAGGTCAAAGTTCGGCAGCCTTAAGCACTTGGCCTCACCCTGAGCGCCTGGATGAGCGACCCCGGCGAGGAGAAGGAGGGATGTGCTGGCCCCTTTCCGAGGAGGGGGCCGGCGGTAGGAACCAGGGCCGGAAGTTTCTGTGAGTGACCTTCCCCGCGTCATGAAGGGTGTCGTCCGCACAGAGGCGCATCACATGGTGGCTGGGTCAGAAAAGGGAACTGTGACTGTGGGCGTTTGGGAAAGTAGAAGGGGGGCTTACCCAGAGCATCCCGCAGGCAGGCTGGGGACCCCAGAGGATCCTGTGTCAGGAGCCCCGCCACCCTCTCGAGAGGCGGGGAGCAGGTGCGGAGGGGCCCCCACCCTGTGACCTGGGTGGGGCTGGGGACCGTCACAGCTGCTGTTTAAAGTCCCCAGAGGCACTGGCAGCTCTCGGCAGTGAGCCCTGGAGAGGAGGAGCTGGGCAAGTCAGCCCCACCTGCCTGTGGGAGAAGCCCTTCTATTGCCGGAGGCCCCTGGTCAAGCTTGTTGTCCAGGCATCGCACCCCAGACGCCACCCGCCAGTGATGATGCCAGGGCCTCTCAGACAGCCCGGACCTCCCAAGCCAGCATGGGCAAGCCACGCTCTGTAGTCCTTGGAGAAAAACCCTAAGGAAGTTCCTCTTCCCAGTTGCCCTGAAAGCACGTCAATGCACATACACTGTACAGTTAGGCAAAAAGACGAATTTACAGTGGTAAAACACTTGTCTACCATGTACAAGGCCTGAGTTCAACCCCAGCAACCCCAAAAGAGATACATTTAGAAATGTATAACCTCAGCAATTGGGAGGCTGAGGCAGGAGGATTATCATGAGATCAAAGCAGTCTGGGCTACATAGTGAGAGCCTGTCTCAAACAAAAACATTAGTGTTTTTAATTAGCATTTAATTAGTATTATAATATATATATATATTGTGTGTGCGTGCGTGTGTGTGTGTGTGTGTGTGTGTGTGTGTGTGTGTCTTCTTTCTTTTTTTGAGACAGAGTCTTGCTGTGTGGCCCAGGCTGGCCTTGAACTCACAGTGATCCTCCTGCCTCAGCCTCCCCAGTGCTAGGATTACGGGTGTGCTTTATTTTTTAAATCAGTTTTAGGTCATAGCAAAATTGAATGTTGGGCACAGAACATTCCCACCTGTCCCTTCTCCTCTTCCCCTGACCGTCAGCATTTCCCACCATCAGTGTCCCTAGGCTGTGTGTCGCATTTGTATTTAAGACCGGGTCTCACCAAATCGCCCGAGCTGGCTTCCATCGTGAGGGTCTCCTGCCTCAGCCCCTTAAGAGTGGGATGATGTGTAGGTGTGTATGTCCAGTCCGTGCTGTGCGTTTGTTACAGACATAAACCCACAAGGAGACGTGGCTGTCCCTCAGAGGAGGTAGTTTCGGGCTTACTCTTAGCGTGGTACTTTCTGTCGTTCTGGACAGATGTGTGAGGACACGGGGATGTCCACGGTCACCGTACCCTGCAGAGTAACTCCCCTGCTCCTCCAATCCTCTCTGCTCCACCTGCTTCTTCCTCCATTTCCCCCAAAACCTCAAGGGGTAAAACAAACAAACAAACAAACAAATAAACCGCCTTTATGTCGTTGGAGTCATACGTGTGTAGCAGCCTTTGGCTTCTTTCATACTACCTACTTGGTTCCTCCGTGTCTTTTTGTGGCTTTGTAGCTCTTTTTCTCATACTGGGACTAGCACCCAGGCAAGCCCTCTAGCGCTGAACTTTACCCACGGCTCCTTTAAATTTGTTTGGAAACTTGTTCTCCCTAAGTTGCCTAGGCTGGCCTTGAACTTGTGCTCCTCCTGCTTCAGCCTCTTGAGTAGCTGAGATCAGAGGTGTATGCCACCATGTATGCCTAAGTAGCTGATTTCTGCCTTTTTTTTTTTTTCTGGTACTGGGAATTGAACTCAGGACCTTGCATTTGGCAGGCAGGTGTGGCACCACTGAGCTAAATCCTTGGCCCTGCTCATTTCTTTTTAGTACTGGATGGTATTCTGTTGTCTGGCGGCATCACTGTTTATCCCTGTGAGGTGTCCTCACCGCCCATTCACCAGGCCCCGCATTGTGTGGCTTCTGCCTCTCCCCTGAGGTCAGCATGACTAGGGAAGGGAAACATTTCGGATTGATTCAAGACACCAAGGCGGCCACAGCAGTGTGACTAAAAACCCTTACAAAAGAGGACTCCAGAGCTGCTGCAGAAAGTGACAAAGGACGGGACGAGTGTGTTCAGAGTGAGGGCAGGAGCTGGAGGGGCCTGATGGCAGCGTGTCTTCAACTTTTTAACAATTTACACATTCACTGCATAGGTTCTCACACCTTGTACAGGAGCTGTGATGGCCTCACACCGTCCGGGACCCCATGGCCCCTTGGCTCCCAAGGGATCTTCTGCAGGCAGGACCAGTGCTGGGGGCTGGGGACGCAGACTTGGTTAGGAACAGTGCAGTCCTGTGCGGGAGGGACAGGCTGGTGTGGGGACTGAGGTCCGCAGAGACGCACGACCTGGATTTGGGGCTTTGGCTTCTAGCTGGAGTAAGTAGCCTGGGTGAGAATAAAGGGCAGATGTGAATCAGCCAGAGGCAGGGTGGGTACTACCGGGGACCCCGACGGGGCCCTTCTGGGAAAGCGCCGGTGGAGCCCTGTGGCCGGGCTGTAGTGTGTGTGGGAGGCTGCCATGGTCCCAGGGTTGAGCAGGTGAGACCTGTTGTGACCCGTTTGGGTCACACTTGGGCCATCCAGGAGGCGGCAGTGTGGAGTGGCTGGAACCTGGGGGAGAGAGGAATGGAGCATGGGTGTGGGCACAGGCGGAGGTCACCTTCTCTGAGGCAAGGCCAGTGGGGAAGCAGAGGGGGCAGTGAGGGGCTGGGACCTCACACTGAGGCTTCTAGAATGTTCCATGGGAAGGAGGAGCTCTGAGGTTTTCTACAGACTCTGCCAGAGGGGAGGAAACTGTTCCCTTTGCCCAGACCTATTTTTTCTTTGTTTCTTTTCTTTCTTCCCTTCCCTTTCCTTTGAAACTTTTCTGTCTCTCTAATTCTTTTCCTTTCCTTCCTTTTTTCCTCCCTCCCTTCCCTTCTTCCCTTCATGTGCTGGAGTTGCAGACCAGGGCCTCTCTGCCCAGCCCTTCTGGACCTCCAGCCACCTCTGTTTGGGGCAGGGACAGCTCTGGACTTACACGGGAAGGTGCAGCGGGGACTTTCCAGTCCTGTGTTCTCAGGCAGTCCTGGGACTCCTGAAATCACTGTTTTGTTTTGTTTGTTTTCACCTCTGGCTGAGAGGAAGTGCATGGTGTGCAAGGGAGGCTTGGTGTAGCTCGGTCAAACTTCCTTTGATTCTTATTCTGCCTCTAATCTTCAAATGCAGCATTTCCCACTGTGTCCCTGGTACATTCCACTGTCCAGTGGAGCCCATTGTATGACCAGTTGTTTTCTTGGTGGTTTTCAGAGAAAAATCTCTAAATTATGTTTTTCTCTTTTTGTACCGGGGATCAAACTTGGGACCTTGAGCTTGCGAGGCAGGCAGTGGCACCACTGAGTGATACATGGTTTTGATAGAAAATGGGGAAGGTGCCCTCTGGGGATGAGAATGACAACCTTTCTGTTGCCTTCCTCTCTGGGCTGATAGCCCTCTCCCGAGTAGTGGACCTGTGATTCTTTAGTGCCTTGGGTGTGGGCCTCCTAGAAAAACAGCTCTGCCTATAAGCCCAGCATTTGGGAGGCTGAGGCAGGACGATTGCTGTGGACACAAAGCAGGCAGAGTGAGACCCTGTCTCAAAAACCAAACCAAACCAAACCAAAACAGCAATGAAGATCAGATTGCTTTTCTTTTTTATCCTACACTCAACAGGGTTCCCTGCTTGGAATTCCCGACTGGCTGGCCTCTGTGGAATTAGTGTTTACTGGAAGTTGCTGACATAGTATTTTGTAGCACTTCCTGTCTAGTCGTCAGAATAATTAAGGGGTGCTTATGCACTGTAAGTGGGTGCGAGCCTGCTGTGATCGCCTTAAAGTGTTCCTTTGATTGATCCTCCTCCTGCCAGGGTTGGCCAACTGCAGGTCCATTTACCTAGCTATTTCCTTCTTTCTAAATAGATGGCTCCATCACAGAAAAAAGATGTAGTCTAAGAACATATTTGTTTCCTTCTTTGCATTCGCAGTACATTTTACTTTTTAGGTTTCTGCTGAAAAACAGGTTTGTCTCCTAAAGAGTATATCTGCTGTTTGTTACACTGCCTGGAGTCTGGAAGACATCAGAGGAGGGTGAGGGTGGCTTTATAAACAAACCGCGTTCAGTGGTGTTAATCTGCTTCTCCTGCTAATGTAGTGGAGTGGATTTTGCATCCTTGAGTGAATGTCATCTCGTGACACACATTCCAAAGAGAGGCTCTTTTCTGATTACAAGACAAAATAGAGCTGGGTGCGGCGGCCCATGCCTCTAATCCCGGGACCCGGGAGGCCAAGGCAGAAGGGCCCACATGAGTTCGAGGCCAGCCTGGACTACAGAGCAAGACCTTGCCAAAAGAAGAAAAGAAAAAAGGGAGTGGACAGTAGCCCTGGCGTCAGCCTCTTTCTAGAGCTCCTGAATCAAAGGAGTAATTTGGTCAGCTGAGCGAGTCCAGCTCCGCCTGGGAGATCTGGGCTTGGGGACCACACACACCTGGGGTTGGCTCCCATTTCTCTTTGATCTTTTTGCAGCAATGGGAATTGAACCTAACGGCAGAGCTGCATCACCACCATTTTTTACTTTTTGAGACAGGGTCTGGCTGAGCCACTCAGTTGCCAAGGCTGCGCTCAAACGTGCAAGCCTCCTTCTTCAGCGTCCCAGAGTGCTGGGATCATAGGCAGTGGACCACCCTGCCTGGCTGGGCCTCGTTTCTTTATTGGGGCAGTTACCGTCTCTGCCTTTCCAAGCAGATGAGTTGTCACTGCTTCTCAGAAACGCCCTGCAGGATCGCCGGCCCCGGCCCTGCCTGGCTCTGTGGCTGTGTCTTGCCCTCACCTCAGGGAGGTGAGGGTGAGATTCACTGGGGGCAGTGGTAGTGAGCTGGTTACCAAGTAACAAGCAGCGTGTCACTTTCAACCTGGGCAAGCCCAGCCCCGTTTACTGTACTC